TCCGCCCCACGGAGCGCCTCGGCGCGTCAGGGACCCTCCTGGCCCTCCCGCACCAGACCCCACCGCGGAGGAGACAGCGCTGCAGGAGGGCCGCCACGCAGCCCACTGGGCCCCGGCTCCTCTTCCCGCCCGGGTCCGGGGGCGAGGGACGGGCGGGGGCTCCTCTGGGACGCCTTCCAGGCCGAGGTGGGGACTGATCGCGGCCCCTCTTTGTTCCTGCTCGGGCACAGCGCGGGGCGCAGCCCGGAAAGGGGGGCGGGACAGCCAGTGGAGCCAGGTCCCTGGCTCTGCACCCAAGGTTCCCCTATCCCAGAAAACCGGGCCTGGCCTCCCTCGGGGTCACGGAGGGCGTAGGGGTCTGGGGTGACCTTAACTGTGCCCAGAGGTGTTGTCCAGGCATTGCACGGCTTGGATGGATTGGCGAAGGGCAGCGCGCCTGAGTCGCACCTGTTCCCCCGCGACTCTACAGTTCTTCGCCCCCCTTCCATACTGGGGCTCCCCCGCATCTCTCTGCGGGGGCTGGGCCTGAGCAGCAGAGGTGGCCCTCATCCCGGCGGCTGACCACGTGGCTGGCAGCAACAACAATAATAATAACGCCATCACCGTCAGCCTCACCAGCCAGAGCCGGAGCACAGCGCACCACGCTTGATTAAATCTCGTAATTAGGAGCCACTTTAATGAATATTATTACATTTCGGACGATTTCAAGAATGGCCTTTTATTTTCTGTGGGCGGGCAGCATAGAGAGAATGGGGTATTGGAGATTAATAAAAATCTATGAATGGTTTGCGCAGGGGCACCCGCAGCGCGGGCACTAGGGGCGGCCGGGCCTGCGGTGCCGGCGGGGTTCGGAGACAGCACGCTGTCCCGCCCGCGGCCGAGCCTCTCCACGCCCGCCCCACCCTTCGCGGCCTCTTCTGCTCCGAGGCCTGGAGAAGGCCTCGCGACGGAGAAGCGCGGAAAAGGGGGCTGCCAGCGCGTGTGCCGGGTGGGGGGAGGTCACAGGACACAGTGTACCCAGAGGCCTTGGGCAGCGCGGTCCTTGGTCGCCAGTCGCTATTAACCTCCCAGCACACCGGCAAGCTGCAGTTTTCGGAGGAGCCGGGACCCTCCGCGGGGGAGGGGGGCACTTGGGGAGCCCTGGGCTGTCAGAGACCTCCAAGGCCAGGCCGCAGATTAAACCAGCGGGATGCAGAGCGACTTCTAGCCCAGCGGGACCGAGCGCACTCGCCCTGCCAATGCTCTCGCCGCTGCCGTGGGCGTATTTGCATATAAAGTGCTTAGGTATCGGTGCGCCCAGGCACACCTGTGCCCGGCAGCCCGGGAGCCCCATCGATTAGCCCTTTTCACTCGAGGGAAAAACAAACAGAAAAATGAAGGCCTCTTGGTGATCAGACCCGTGTCCCTAAAGAAAGCGCGTGGCCGGTCTACACTGGTCGGCCGGATGTGGATCTTCGGTCTCTGACTCCAGCCCGAGGCCCCCCCTGCTCCGACCCCTTCTGGCAGCGCAGCGGTGGGAGCGCAAGCTGGCCTGGGGGCGGCCGTCCTCTGCCCTGGGGCTCCCAGCCCTGCGCTAGGTCTCGACGCCTCGGAGGATGGCGGAAGAGGTCAGGTTGGGGCTGGAGGCAATTGGGCTCCGCAGAGCAAGGCCTTCCTCTATCAAGGGGCTGCCCTATGAGGAACGTTTAGGAAGCCGACCTCCCGTGGGCGCGACAGTCTGGCTGCGGTGGGCTGGGGGGGGGGGGGGGAGGAGGGGTTCACCAGCTCTCCTGCTGCAATCCCAGGCCACGGTCCACGGGTCCAGGACCGATGCCCAGGGGCCCAGGGGGGCCTGCGCAGGCCTTGGGGATTCAGAAAGGAGACTTGCCTTCCTTCCTCGTAGGCTCTAGGAGGCTCGCCGCCCTGGAGGGAGGGTTGGCCGGCGCAGCAGGGTCTCTCCGTCAGTTAGGTGCTTAGATTGTACACTGCCGGTTTTTTGAAATCTAATAAACATAGAAGCAAAACCGGAATCTCAGCGTTTCGAAGGTCTGAGACTCATTCATTCCAATCCCTTCCCAGAGACAAAAAGGAAAAAAAGAAAAAGAAAAATCTTCCTATGCCACTGTAGGCTTAGGATCTGCTTGCACACCTCCGGGGACGGCGATCTCATTACCTTACAAAACTGTACCTTGCCCCTTCATAGAATTATGATTTGCAAACAGATTAAAAACAAAATTATTGTTTAATGTTGTTATATTATCTTTTTATTTTTAAAAGACTCCTTTTTTAAATAGGGTAATACGAGTTGTGCTAGTGGGCTTTTGTTTTTAATCCGGGAACCCTCAGAACTATGCAAATTGGGGGCGGGGCGACGCTGCTGAGAATGGCGCCCGATTGGCAACGACACCTCAGCTGGTGCCTGGGACGGAGCCTCCACGCAGTGCGTCTTTGCAAATCCCGGGCCCCCGCGCCTGCTCCAGAAGCCGGTGCGGAACCAGGCCTCCTGAAAGGTCCCCTTTGGCAAACGACGATCCTCTGAGTAGTCTCCGAGTTTTTTACTGGAAGAAGAAAACATTTTTTTTTTCCAGCCAAGAAAGTTTGGCAATAGAGCAATGGGGCGGCGCAGGGCGCACGTCGCGGCCTCGCAGAGGTGGATCTGCGCCAGCCCGGGGGGCCTCCAGCCACCCCTGCGGGGCCGGTCCTTTGCCTGCGCGCGCCCGCGTGCCCAGGGATGTTGTCCTCGTCCTTTACTTCCAGGCATAAAAGCAACAACGAACGTAGAAGAGGGGCCTCCTGTGTCTGTGGAGTGAGCAAATCGCCTCGCCCCAGGGCCCGGGTACCTGTTGCCTCCTGTAAGATTTTAAATCTTTAGTCCAAGGAATAGCGCCATATTTTTGAACACTTTATTTTGGTCAAGAGATGTGTACTTAAGTGACTTTGGTTGTTCTGTATTCATATAGGAAATATCCAAAGTGTTATTTTGAAAAGAAAATTACCTGCAAAGGTGGGCCTGTGTACTCCGTGGGACGAGGCAAAGGTCGGCAGCGCCTGCGCGGTGGGAGGAGGCCAGGGGCGGGCACCTGGATTCCGTCCGAAACGCACTCAGAAAAACTAGTCATCCCACCTGGGACAAACAGTATTTTACAATAAAGCGTGTGTTTTTTTTTTAATTTAATGTAACTTTCAAGAGTTTAAACACACAAAAATGCAGAGGGAATGTTCACAATTCTGGTCACCACAGTTGGAAACAGAAACATTCATTTCTCATAAGATTATAAATATTTGATACTGGAACCGTAAAATGCACATTTTTTTATAAACTAAAAAAAAAATCTTAAATGAAAAACCAAAACACTTTGCTTCCCGCTAAAAAGGCAACCATTTCATCGCGTTTGCTGAGCAGCAGATGATCATTCATAGGATGTTAAATGACACCTTTTTGTGTTTAGAGTCCCGTCCGACGAAGGTTGTTGGCAGTCTGTACAGAGCGAGCCTGTGGTCGCAGTGAAATACAGGTTTAAGGCAAAGAAAGTTCACCCTCAGTCCTGGGGGCGGTGGGGGGTGCCGGCCGTGACTCCTGCCTGGGCCCTGGGCACACCCCAGCTGTCCCGGCTGCAGATGGACACTTGGACAAGATTCTTTTTCCATACACTAAACAGAAAACAGTGTGGGGTTATATAGCGAGATAACGCGTTTGTTTTTATATATATATATGTACTGGGCAGGGATATATTGAATATATTTAATTTACACTGTACCACACCTTCAAAAAATAAAATGTATATTTTAAAAAACAAGAAAAGACAAAAAAGTGATACGAAATGATTATTTACACATTTTTCTTCCTTCCTCTGGACCCCGGAGGATGCAGAGAGCCTTTAAAAGTGCAGGTAGCCACGAGCCCCAGCCCTGGGGGCTCCCGTGCACCTGCCGGTGTGTGTACAGGCAGACGGAGGGAGGTACACACACACACCTTGTAGCTTGAAGGAATGCTCTCTGTAGCAGAAGTGGCCACTTAAAAAAAAAAAGGAAGGGAAGGAAAAGAAAAAGGAAAGGAAGAAAAGACCGACTCTGTCCGCAGGACTCTGCCAGCCCCAAGGTGACAGGCCTCCACCCGCGTCGGGGGATGGGGGGGGGGCTGCAGGAGCCTCGGAGGGGCCCTGAGCTGAACCCGGAGCCACAAGGGTCACCCCTCTGCTCCTGGGCTCCTCAGCCCGGAAGCCCTGGTGCCCAGAGGCCAGAGAGCTGGCGCTAGCTTCCGGCGGAGGGACAGGGGACAGCAACACAAATACAGACACAGACAGAAGCACGCAGGGGCCTGGCGAGGAGGAGGAGGAGGAGGGTGGACAGGGAGAGAAGGCAGGAGGAGGGTGGAGCAGAGTGGGGCGAGACGGAGGACCACCGTGAGCAGCAGGGCACGGCCACTCTCCATGGCTGAGCCCTCCCCCACACCCTCCACACTCCTCCGGGGCCCCTGACAGTCCCCCTTGCCTGCCAGGGCCCTGGTACCGCCCTGGCAGTGGTGGGCACCCCTCCTGCTGACCTCACCAAGCCCACACAAACAAAGCGGCGGAACTCATAGACCAAGTAGGAGCTATTTATTGGGTTCGGTTCACAGTTGTGTGAAATGCAGCAATAAAAATCTTTGGACTTCAGCAAGTTGTTTTAATTTTTTTTCTTCTTTTGAAATAAAAAAAAAAAGTGTCCCATGTCCCATAATGGAGCTTAGGGGATTTCTTTAAAAAAAAGAGAGAGAGAGAGAAAAGAAAAGAAACCCTAAGCAGCCCCCTTTGCAAAAAAATCATAAAATTAGCATAATTTCATAAACAAAAAAATTAAAAATATTTTATAGTCAGATATTTCGGATTTTACACCTGTAAATTATATACACATAGAATATTGCAGAACCATAGCTAATACAGGATCTTTTCACTAGGAATGCTGGTATAATCTTTATACACTGGCCCTTTTTCTGTGACTTTAAATTATTGCATGGTTGGCGCGGCGCGGCTCGGCCCGGCCTACTCGCTGTCCGACTTGCCCTCCTTGGCGGCGGTGGAGTGATTGTACAGGCCCTGCGCCATGAGGTGCACTGCCAGCGTGTTCTTGTTGCCCGTGGCCTTCTTGATCTTGGCGCGCTTGTTCTGGAACCAGATCTTGATCTGCGACTCGTTGAGGCAGAGCTCCTGCGCCAGGCTCTGGCGCCGCTGCTCCGTCAGGTACCTGTTGGTCTGGAACTCGGCCTTGAGCCTCTGCAGCTGCTCCGCGGTGAAGGCCGTGCGCGGCCGCTTGTCCTCTTTGTTGGGGTTCTTCTTCTTTGGTTTGCGGGACCTGGGGCCTGGGTAGACGCGGAGGAGAGAGAACAGGGTTAGGGCCTGCGCTGGGTGGGGTGGGGGATGCAGGCAGAGTGCGGAAGGGTGCCCAAGGTCATGGCGCTGACCTGGAGGACAGCGGGGATGGACTTGGGGCTGGACTTGGGGGGGGGTGCTGCGCGTAGGCTCACACCCACCTCAGAGCGACCCACCCCGAGGAGGGAGGCTGTGGGCCAGCGACGTCGGGGAGGTCGCCACTTTTTGGCCTGGCCTTTTCTGGCCCTTTCTGAGGTTTTTGTCCAGAAACCAGGACAGCGTGGGCCTAGGTGCTGGGCAGGAGGTGAGGGGAAAGAGTGGGCACAACCAGAGTAGCAGGAAGGGTCTTGGGGGCTGCGAGGGGGCTCCCTCAGGAACCCCGCAGGGGACACCCACAGGGGGCTGAAAACTGTGGGAACCAGGGGCCAGGAGGATCCTGGGAAGGGCGGTCCCGAGAGGTGCCTCCCCCCCAGTCCCCTTGCTGCCTCCTCCACTGGCCCTGTTTCCTTCACGGGCAGGACCTTGAGTGTGCTTCTTTGGGGGGCGGAGGGGGGATGGGAGGCAGCCCAGTCAGTCCACATTCCCCCTTAACCTAGGGTCCTGGGTCCCCCAGCAAGGAGAAGGGCCCAGGACCCGCCTGGGAGCTGACCTCGCTTCCCGCCCCTCCCCCCACCCGACTGCAGGCCGCAGGGGGCCCAGCTGAACTTCAGGAGCAGAGAACCCACACTCGGAGCCCACGGGGCCTCCCCCCACCGGGACGCCTCCCAGCACCCGAGACTGGTTTAGGCCCGTGTCCTGAGACTCCCAGGGCCGGCCAAGGCCTGACCAAGAGGCAGAGGGAAGCCCTTTTTTCCGTTAAGAAGAGGGTGTGCAAAAGGGGAGGCCGTAAAGGCTGGGGGCGGGGGGCGCAGCAGCGCTGGACCCCACGGTCTCAGTCTGCAAAGTGAGTGAATCCGCTTTGCAAAGACCCAACACCTACTTCTCCCAAGGCGTCTGTGGCTGGAGAATGAAGAGGCCCAGACCTCAGGCAGCCGGAACCCAGGTCCCCACCCTGCGGCTCCCGGGCTGCACGCGACCGGGACCGGGTGGGGGTGGGGGTGCGGGCAGAGAACTCAGGAGGGCTGTGCTCAGCGCTCAGGGGAAGATTCGGGATGGTCCTGGGTCCCAGGACCCAGCGAGCGCGGAGAACTTCCTTCCCGCCCACTCAGCGGGTCAAGCAGTCTCTCCCGTGAGACGAACATCCAAAGAGGGGCTGTGGGCGCCAGAGACCCGTCGCCAAGGGCCGCTGGGCCAAAACTCCCGGCTTTTTAGATTATAAAACAAACCCACACCCTCCTCCGCGCCCCCGCGCGCACTCGCAGTCGCCTCCGGGCCGTGGGCCTGGCTTAGATCCTGAGCGTGTGGATGGGGGCGATGGGCCGCGTTCTGCGGTGGGTGGGAAGGGGGCCGGGGTGGCTCTGAGAGGCCCCGAGGGGCCGGGCGGCCGGTCCCTGCTGGATGGACCCGCAGTCTCCCGCTCCAGGCGGCCGTTTGTGGTCCCCACACCCTTCCCCCGCCACCCAGTCGCCTTCCTCACCCCCAGACTCTTCTGCTCCTGGGGACCCGCAGACACGGGCCCGCTCGCAAAAAACACACGCGGCATTTGACGGAAAGAAATTCTCCCGAAAAGCAGAATTTTGAACAAGGTTTCTTTCCTGGATTTTCTTTCGAAACGAAACCCTCAGGAGTCTCAGCAACAGAACCAAACCTCCGCGAGAAAACTCTCCGTCTTGCTCTTTTCTGGAACGCCAAGAAACCAAACACCGGGTCTTACGCGGGGGTCATTACGATGATTACGGTTTAGTCCGGGAGGAGCAGCGACTCCGGCCAGGCCGGGCGGCAGGCTCCCGCGGCCGCGGCGATCTGGCGGGCCGCGAGGGCTGCACAAAGCCATCCGAGGCTCCTCGCCGGCCCCATTGTGAGCCTCTATGTTAATTAAATATTAACAAAGGAGGGAGGCGAGAACAATGGAGCAAATTTCAGATCGAACTGGAGAAATAGGGGTTTCACCCGAGATGGGGGCACACTTTTTTTTTGTGCGGGGAGGCAGCCCAGGAGTGTGACTGGGTCGTCCTGTGGTCTGGGTAAATGACCCCCCGAAAACCAGTCGAGGGTTGGGGGCAGGAGGTCAGGTCGCTGCTGCCGGCTCAGGGACAAATGGAGTCTGCTCCTAATGGCGGGTCGAGACTGCAAACCCGCATTTAAGGCGGGTGGCAATTTTCACGAGGACTTGGACTTAGCTTTTGAAAGTCCCAGACCTGTGAAAACAATGCCCAGCACCTCGGCACACCCCACTCGGAAATCTGCTCCTTCCCTCCCCAGTGGAGCACGAGGGAAACCTCGGGGAGAAGGTCCCTTCATTGGGGGGGGATTGCTGGCCCCTCCTCCACGCTGAATTCGAGATAGGTGCTGCACTCTCCCGCGGCGGGCTCAGCAAATTAAACCAAATAAAACCGGGCAGAGCGCAAAGGGCGCCTCTGTGTTCCGCCCTTCCCTCTCCGGATCCCCGCAGGCCCCCTCGGCAGCCCAGGCCAGGGGCCCAGGGAAGAGCCTACGCTGTGCGCTTTCCTCGCTGGCTATATCTGGGATTTCTGGGTCGCAGAATGAGTCTAGGTCTGCGGGTGGACTACGCGTGGGTCCCGGGTCCAGACTGAGTTGGAAAGACCGGAGAAGGGACGGAGCGGGGGACGGAGCGGCGAGCTTCCGGGCCTGTCTTCCAGCCAACCCCGTTCCCACCAAATAAACTCCAGCCAGGAGAGGGGGGCTAGCGGCTGTGCGAAGAGGCCCCCAAGAGACGAGAGAGAGAGCAGGTCCTGTCGATCCTGCCCTTCTAAGAAGTCTACACCCCCTGGCGCATCGATCGAAACCCCTCGCTTTTTGGCCGAAGCAGGAGCTAGCGTCAGCCGCACACAATGTCGCTATGTGTGCGTCTTTGTGTGTGTTGGGGAGGGGGGTGTCTTGGTGTCTTCATCCTCCCGGTAAGTTCCCGCGCCAGCACCTCCCTGCAGCCCCGTGGCCTCCCCGCGGCAGGCCGGGGCGCAGGGTCCCTGCGGGCTCACCTGAAGAAGGCCGATCCGAGTAGCGCGTGCAGTAGACCCAGGCCGGCCAGAGCATGGGCTGCGCGCCCAGGTTGGCGCTGGCCTGCGAGCTGTCCGAATCCGAGCTCAACGACAGGTCGCCGCTGCCCAAGCTGCGGGCCTTGAGCGCCCCGTCCAGGGGGCCGCCAGGGTCGCTGCCTTTCTTGGCGCCGCTGTGCAGCGAGAGCGCCTTGGAGCCGCCTTCTCCTTCACCTGGAGAGTCGCCGCCGCCGCCGGCCAGCGGTCCGCCCGCACTCGGCGCACAGGGTGCGCTCTGCCGCGGCTCCCGGCCAGACCCCAGGAGCTGATCCGCACCGCCCGAGCCACCGCCTCCGTCCTCACCGCTTGTGCCTCCTTCGCCGCTGCCAACTCTTCCTCCTCCCGCGCCCACACAGCAGGTCCCTGCGTCCTTTCTCCGGCCGAACTCGGGCCGCAGGATGTTGTCGATGAAGAAGTTGGTGATGCGATGCGGGTGCTGGTGGTTGCCCGGCGCCTGCAGAACCGCGGGCAGCATCAGATTCCGCCGGCGGCCAGTGTCCGCGTCGCCGGATCCGCCGCTGGGGCTAGATTCCGGCTGCCTCGGCCCCTCCGCCGCCGCTGCTGCTGCCGCAGCCTCGCTGGGCTTGGGGTCATTCTCCTCCATGCTGTTCACAACAGATGCCAAATTGGTTCTCCGGGGACCCCCTCCAATCAGCCCTCGGCCGGAGCGCGGCGCACACGGAGACCCCCGCGGCCAGCCCACGCCCCTACCCCGCTGAGGCTTCCCAGGGCGTGTGCTGTGGCCAAGGCCAGGACTGTGGTCCTACAAGTCGCCAGCCGCGTTCGGAGCGAAGCCGATCCAATCCACGAGTTGAATTAGAAAATACCAAGAGTCGCCCCGCGCCCAGAGCCAGGAGATTCAAAAAAGAGTCCAGTCCTCTCCTTCGCCGCTCACGCCGGCGCCGGACAGTCACAATGGTTCGGCGGAGACCCGGGGCGCCTCCGGGCTCCGCGCTCCTCTCCCAGTGCAGCTGCCTCCGGCTCCGGCGCTGCCGCCGCGGCCGCCCGGGGCTGTCACTGCGCGCATGCAGGCAGTAAGCTCCCCGGAGCTCACGCTCGCCCGGGCCAACTCGGGCCGCCGCCGCCGCCCGGCCGCCCCCGCCCGCGCGCCCGGGCCGGCCCTCGAGGGTGCGGGGCGCGAGCGGTCAGCGCGCCCGCCGCCGCCAGCACGCACATGGACGCCCGCGGGCCCGCGCCGCGCTCCGCTGCCTCCCCGCTGCGGGCCCGGGCGCCCCACCGGCGTGCGGCCGCGCCCCTGCCGAGCCCCGCGGAGCCCCGCGGCCCGAGTTGCATGGGTGAGAGGCGGGAGGCCGGGCCGGGCCGGGCTAGGCTGCCCGCGTCTCTCGCCGTCTGCGCGCCCTCGCCGCCAAGGCCTCTGCGCCGGCTCGGAAATTTCCAGGCCACTTAGCGCAACCTGAGACACTTTCACTCTGGATTTTGTTCTTATTTTTAACAGAGCCCCCTCGAGTGACGTCGCGGGCCGGTCGCTTGGACACGTGCCTCGGGCCAATGGCCGCAGCGCCGGGCGCCCACGTGACGCGCTGGCCGCCGCTAGATGACAGGAGGATCCCGCCGCCCCTCCTCCGCCGCCGCCGCCCCTCCCCCCCTTAAAGCAGCCGAGTCCTCGGGCTCCGGTGCGGGAGCCCCCGACTCGCGAGATAGCGGCAGCGTCCCCTGCCCCTGATCCCGTTCCCCCCCCCCCGCCACTGCTCGGTTCAGGGATCCAAGGAGCTCCCGCCGGCGTCGCGCCGGGTCATCCCCGCGGTGCGTCCTCGGACACGCGCTGGGCGATTGCTATTTTTAACATTTCCATATTGTTTACCGTGGGGAAAAGTCCCACAATTCCTTGCACAAAAAATGCATAAATCCTATTAAATGAGCTGCCGAGATACAAAGGGACTTTTGTAGCCCGCGCTCCTTGCTGCCGGAGAGGGAAGTTGTCACTTACATTTGACTTCGGTGACCCGGCAGATTCCCTCGCCGAACGCATAGCTGGCGCGCAGGACCCTCCTCCTGCAGACACTGCGTGTAAGTGTGCGTGTGTGTGCGTGTGCGCGTGCAGGGCGGCGCGTGCAGGCGGCGAGGTCCCACCGGGGACACGCACCCTCATGAAACATGCATGTGGACCCGGAAGAGCGCGGGAAACACGATTTCCGTGTTCTGTGCGGGGGGGGGGCAGGGAGGAAGGAGCCTACGGTTGTCACCTCACCGTCTTGCTTGGCAAGGGGGGGGGCGGGGGGCTGACGGTGCAGCTAAACCTTCGGAAGCACCCGGAGAGACAGCGCCCCAGAGCAGCTGCCCACCCCACCCCAGTCTCGACCCTGACTGAGGGGCGACCAGGACTTTCCTCTAATTTGCTTTGTCTTAATTTCCTTTGAAGGACTTTCGCGGAACAGCAGGGCCCATCTGAAAGGGGAATCCGGAATGAAATGGTGGGGGGAGTGGGATTTGTTTCTCCCCCCGCCTCTCCTTTCTCTATCCCTTTCTGAACTTCCTTTCCAGCTGCTGTCAGAGGTCCAACTTGAACTTCTGTTTCCTCTTCAAGGCCCCCTCCTCCCTCAGGCTCCTTCCAGTTTGCTGTCCCCTGCTTGCCCCCCAACTGCAGGTGCCGTCCCCTCACCCCAGCACCCCACTTGCTTGGGTGTGCCTGGCCCTCATTTAAAATGCACTTTGTATGAGCATTGGCAAACTTTGAAAACCCCCAAACGGGCCATTTGAGGGTGTTGGGAGTGCTGGCACAATAAAAGTGCCATCAGGAGCAAGGGGGCAGGGAGGGGACAGGAAGGGGTGTCCAGTGCCCAGGGCTGGCTGGCCCAGCCCGTTGCAGCGGCTGCCGGGGTACCCAACAGCAAGGCCCACTGTGGAGCGGGCGCTGGGTGGGGACTCCCTGTGGCTACTGCCAGACTAGGAGAGACGGGATGAGGGCCAAGCAAGCAGCACCCCCTGCAGTGTGGTCACCAGGCCCCCTGGAGGCTTGAAAGCTTCCTCTAGGCCAACTCAGCTGCCCTCCTGTCCCCACCTAGGTCCTGTCCTCTCTGCACTGCTCACCCATTGGGGGCTCCAGGGTGGCACAGTAAACCTCCGCTGTTGCCGGGGAAACTAACCCCAGGAGGAGGGGCGTGGAGGGGCCGTAGGAGGCCCTGGGCAGGGAGGGGTCCAGTGTGGTCAGCTCTGTAGGCAGCTGGCGAGGTTCAGGGGTCCCAGGGGAGCTTCCAGCAGGGTGAGGAGGCTGCTTCTCACTTGGGGTGACTCCATCCCTTCTTTGTTCCTCCCCCATTTGAAAGGACTCTCACCAAATTACCTGGCTAGGCACACACACCTGCCGGGGGCCTTGCCCGGGTGTCAAAACATGAAGCCCCACAGTCGGCCCGCCCCTGGGAAAATGGGGTTGATGAGATGTGTGGGGGTCACCTTATTAGCCCATGTTTAGGACTGGGGAGAAATTTCCTGCAGTTCTGGGGACCCCAATCCTTCCCAGCCAGGGACCGTCCAATTATTTGGGTCTCTGGCAGGTGGAGGGAGAGCCCAGGGCCCCTTCCCTTCCCACAAAGCCGCCAGGTTCATTTCTCACCCCTCCCCTGAAAACCAATTAGGCCGCCTCCCGAGAAGCATTTTCCAGTTTCTTGGGCACTGTTGTATCTGAGCGCCTTGGCAGTAAGTGAGCCCAAGGCGGGGAATAGGGTAGTGCTCTTTCCTGTGTCCCAGACCCAAAGTCAGGGCTGCACCGCGGGCTCTGCGCAGGGCGCGACCCGCCCAGGCAAAGCTGGACTCTGGGTTGGGGTCTTCAGAGGCTGCTGGGTTGGGTGGGGGTGGGGAGGAGAGGTGCAGGGGGAGCAGAGGAAAGGGAAATAATTACAGGTGAGGCGGTTGTCAGGCTTCCTAAAGCCCACCCAACCTCTTAAATAAATGCGGAAAAGAGCACCCCTTGAGAGTGGGCGCCATCCTGGGCACCATCCCAAGGGCCAGGCGGGGAGCTGCGGGCTGTGCGAATTTGGGCCGAAGCCGCACAAAGTTGGGTTGCTCCGGGGCGGAGGGGGAGTTCTGTCTTACACAGAAATCTCAAGCTGTTTCCGGAAGCTTCCGAAAGGCGCTGGAGGCCCCAGCCCGCCTCCTGCGGGGTCTGGGGCGCCGCCCTGGCCGCGCTTTCTCGGGGCGCCGGAAAGCGAAGCCTGCGCGCGAGCGGCGGCCCGGGTCTCTGCGGCGCTGCGTGCAGCCAGCCGCGCGGACCGGCTCTCCCACCGCGACCCGCCTCCGCCCGCGTGGTCGGTCTCTCCGTGCAAACAGGCGAGCCATCCCGGACACGAGTGTCTCCCCGGCACTGAGCGAGCCCCACGTGGGGAACCCCACCCCTTCTCCTCCGGCGGCGTTCAGAGAGCTCCCGCTGAGAACGGGATCTCTCAAACGGGGTCGCCCAGGGACAGGCTTCCAGACGTGGGGGCTCACGTTGGTGCCACAAACAACGCCTCGCAGCGGCGGGTGGCAGGGCGCTCCCAGAGACTCCGGGGTGCCTGGCTGCGGATCCAGCCTTCCCTTTTTTCTTATAATGAGGCTGCAGGAGGGTGACTTTTCCGGCCGCTCTGCTGTCCCCTCACTTCCCACACTCCTCTAAATAGGCGTGGGGACACAGAGAAAATGAACGCAGCGATAGTGGCCTTAGCTCGCGTGGACCTTGGCACAGGGTTGGCAGAGACGCCCACCGTAGGAAAGAGGGAAATCTCGACCCTGCAGAATCGCGAGGAGAGCCCCTCGCGGCCGGCCGGCGGGCCCTGGGCTCGGGCAGGGGGTCTGGGGCTGAGCCGAGAAGGGCCTCGGCCCCCGGAGAGCCACCTGGGTTCCTGGTGAAGCGCAGCTTGCAGACAAAGGCCGAAAGCAGGGGCGTGGGGCGGGCGCCAGCGCAGCGGGGCTGTGCTCTCCTCCTCGGAGCCAAGCACAGGCCTACAGGCCCTGCCCAGGCTTGGGGACATGGCCTCGGTTTATTCCCCAGGAAGGGAGGGGCTAAACGCAGAGGTTGTGGGGCTGGAAGGGGGAGGGGGGCACTTTGTGCCTGTGCTCTGGGCCTGTCCCTGCCCCAGGGCCCCCCCCTCCCCCGGGAGCCCAGCTCCCCAGAGGCACCCTGAGCCTGGTGGGTGGGTTGGCACTGGGAAGCCTGCCTGAGGAGGTGGCGGGGTGGGGGGGGGGCATCAGCATTGTCCAAGGGGACCCTGCCCCAGGGCCTGGGGCAAAATCGGCTGGTACACAGCCAAAGCGCCCTGGGTGCTGGGGACACCAAATGGGTGAGGCACTGCCTGGAGCCTCCTCCTGTCCAGGACACGGGAAAGACCTACTTTCGACGCTCTGCCCCAGCGCTGGCCTGGGCGAGCAGGAAGCTGGGTACACGGTGGGCACGGCCCCCGTGCTGGAGACCAGGTGCAGAGTCTCCTACGAGCTGGTTTCTCCACAAAACAGGGGCTGGTGAAGGGGATTCCGCAGAACGACTCTGCTGCTGTGTGTGCACCCACCGCCACAGCCCCGCCTCTCCCTGGCCGCACGGCCCACCCCCCGTGGACAACCCTCCAAGGCTGGAGATTCTTGCCGCAGACATCCTTTGACTGTCCGTGGGACCCA